TCTTGCTATATTGCCTAGGCTGGTCTCAAACTCCTAGACTCAAGCAATCCTGCCTCGTCCTCCTAAAGAGCTGGGACAACAGTTGTGAGCCACCGTATCCAACCTAAGAATTTTCTTTTACTTAATCACAGTATATTTATCGAGATTAGGAAATTTAACATTGAAAAATTCTATTATCTCATCCACAGTTCCACATTAAACTCTTACCAGTAATCCCACTAATATCCTATAGGTCCCCCCACTGTGCATCCAGGATCCAATTCAGGACCATAGGGTACATTAAGATGTTATATTCCTTTAAATCTGGAGCCGTTTCTCCTTTCCTTTCTCTTTCATGACCTTGACTTTTTTTTTTCTTTTTTTTAAGAACACAGGCCAGTTATTGTGTAGAAATGTCCCTCAGTTTGGGATGTGATCCCTCCTGATTAGTTTCAGGTTAGGGCTTGTGGTTTTGGCAGAAATACCATAGAAGTGATGCTGTGCTCTTCTTAAGACATATTAGGAGGCACACGGTTTCCATTTGTCCCATTATTGGTGGTATTAACTTTGGTTACTTATTAAGTCAGCGTCTATCAGGTTAACCCACTCTAAAGTTGCTAATTTCCTTTTGTAATTAACGATTTGTTGTGGATACCTAGGTACTGTGGAAATATTCTGTTCCTCATTAATCTTTCATCTACTAGCTTTGGCATCCATTGATGATTCTTGGCAGAATTGGTTATTACTGGGATGGCTGAAAAATGTTGAGTTTCTAACACCATAATTTCTTCCACAGATATTAGTTGCTTTTCCGTTGTAAGGAAGGACTTTCTCTTCTTGCTCAGATTTTAATTTATTCATTTCTTTATATCTACATGGATTTAAATTCTTATTCTATTCATAATTATTCTGTTGCTATTATTTATATATTTACTTATTTATTTATTTTTAAGGTCTCCAAATGCAACTGTGAGACTGATGTTTACTTCACATTAAGTTCTGTTTAGACAATTTTATTCTCTTAAGTGAACAAACCATATATATGCCTTCAGCCTCCACACCAGTCCACAATTTCTGTTGTGTCCTATCTCCATGGTCATTTTAGTTTTTAGACGATGTCTCAATTGTAGCTATAATATGCGCACTTAGTTTATGTGGATAGAGAATTATCGTTTCCTGACTACCAAGTAAGACAGTATATATAAATAAATACTAAGAAAATGTTTCATTTCATACGTGTTAAACGTGGCTCAGAAGTAACTAAAAGAAACAGCCGCTTGTAAAAGGCCTCAGTCAGTATATAACTATAAGAAAAGATCTGAAATGCACCTTTGTAAGGATGTTTAAAGCATATAAACAATTATCCCTTATAGGAAAGAAGCAGAATATCAGGCTTATAGACCCAAACCAACCTAAGCGAAGCCCGATGGCATCTAAGCATGAGTTCTGTGAATAATCTTCCAATTGCTTCAACACGTGCACTTTGTACATAAATACCTGCATACAAAGAGTTCACAAGTCACGTTGAAAAACAAACAGATCTTTATTGTCTAGAAATATATATGAAAACCCCACGAAAGTTAGTATCCCCTCATTTCCCCATCTCCTTCCTCTTCTTCAACACCTCTGATATAAGGACATTGTTACACCTTAAGACTTCACACAGGTGTCCAGACTGTACCTCGTCTATGTATTCTTCTGTATTTGCAAGCTGCGTGTTCACCAGGTAGCCCATGTACTCCATCCCCTACTTGAGCTTCACCAGCACTGACTTCCCTGTGAGGCCGTTGAGGAAAGGTTTCAGGGTTGAGGGGTAAACGCATCATCGCCAGCTGGGCTCGGTGGCTCAGCCTGTAATCCCGCGCCTTTGGGAAGCTGAGGTGAGTGGATTGCCTGAGCCCGCGGGTTCGAGACCCGCCTGGGCAGCGAGACCTCATCTCTACAATAAATAAAAAAAAAATTAGTCGGGTGTGGTAGCACACGCCTGTAGTTCCAGCTGCTTGGAAGGCTGAGGCGGAAGGATTGCCGGAGCCCAGCAGGTCGAGGCTGCGGTGGCAGGGAGCAGCCACTGCACTCCAGTCTGGGCGACAGAGTGACACTCCAACTCAAAAAAAAAAAAAAACTCATCATCGCTGCAGGCCACGCCACAGGCCAAATGGTGGCCGGCCAACCGACTGCGCTGCCACTGGTCCCTCGTGACTGCAACAGGTTCACAGGTCCGGGTCTCTGGGCAGGCAGAGAATGGCTGCTATTATTTATTTTGATGACCAAATTGTGCCAGATTTGGCTGTTGAGAGCCCCTTCAAGCTGGTGCTTATGTCCTTTGGACACATCCTTGTCTTTTTTTTTTTCCTTAGCATTTCCTTACTTTCTGATACAAGATATTCCAGGTTCATTTTATACTTGTCTCTGCCCCAGCCTTAAATCAACAGCCTCCATAAAGAACCCTGGTTCCTTGAAATGAGGAGTGATATTTAGAAACCAAGATCTGGGTGTGCAGTGTGTTCATTGTTGCTGGGATGGCTTTGCTTATAGACACTTTAAGTGGACAGAGGGAAGGAATATAAATATAAATCTAGACATGTATATTTATCTATCTCCATATCTCTCTGTGTAGATTAAGCACCATAAATTCATGCTGATAGCTCTAACTCCAGTTCATCACCACAAGGTTCGTTCTTCTGTTCTTTTCTTTTCTTTTCCTTGTTTTGAGTTGGAGTTTCACTCTGTCACCCAGACTGGAGTGCAGTGGCACGTTCCCGGCCACCGCAGCCTCAACCTGCTGGGCCCCGGCAATTCTTCCGCCTCAGTCTTCCAAGTAGCTGGAACTACAGGTACGCACTACCACACCCAGCTAATTATTTTTGATTTATTGTAGAGATGAGGTCTCGTCAAGTTGCCCAGGCAGGTCTTGAACCCACAGACTCAGGCAATCCACTCACAGCCTCCCAAAGCGCGGGATTACAGGCTGAGCCACTGAGCCTGGTTTATTCTTTTCTTTTTCCTCGGATGCAATTCCTTCTCCAACAGTGAGAAACTTGACTCCTGTTCAGTACATTTTGTTATTTTCTCAATTCTGTAATTCACAGAAAGCAGATTCAGAGTTGGTAACTCATTGCCCTTACCAAAAAAAAAAAAAAAACCTCTATCTAGAACTTAGTATTAATTTGTAGTTATTTTTGTCTTTGGACTGACAGCATGTTGTCAAAGTGCTGTGTTCAAAAGTAACTCTAGACTGGGCTCAGTGGCTCATGCCTGTAATCCCAGTACTTTGGGAGCCAAGGTGAGAGGACTGCTTACGTTTAGGAGTTCAAGACCAGTCTGGGAAACATAGCGAGACCTTGTCTCTACAAAATTTTTTTTAAAAATTACTTTGGTAACTTTTGATAGTTCTTTTTTCACCCTAAGTGTGGTTATGTTATTCATTTGAACTACAGTTAGGTTAATTTTTGTGTATTTGTTTTCTATTTTGACTTTTACCTTCATCCTTGTTTATTTAATTTGCTTTTGAGTATGTAAGATATTAATGTGATTCCAAAAATCTAAACTAGATGATCGGGGTATACTCACTACATAAGAATTCCTAAATGGATATTGCATTGGCTGATACACTGAATCACCCAGGAGAATAAAATTTTTGCAGTTGACTTCTACGTAGTTTGCTTGTTACTGGGGGGAGGGCATTAGGGTCCACGTTGCTCCTTCTTGTGTCAAATTCATATAGACTTTCTAGCAGCAGACTGAGTCCTGCAGTAAGGGCCTTTGGTCAAACAGGTTGGGAAGGGCAGGGGTGACCAGGCATTGCTGCTGCAGGGTTTTGTCATTTGTGGGCTGGCATCTGGTGTCCAGAGCATGTGTGTCTCTGGGCCCTGAGTCCTGGGGGTGGAAGTGGAAGTGGCTGCTTTTAGGAAAGGAGCTGCGTGTGGTCCTGGGAGGCAGAACTTGCAGCGTTTTCACATCAGCCTCAATGCTTTCACGGTGTCTGAGGATCTTGTTGCTCCTGGAGCGGTGCTGTTGTATGACCAGGCTGTGCCCAGAAAGTCCCATCCTTGAGCAAGAATGGAGGATACACAGCTGTGGAGAAAACACAGTTCGCACATACAAACACAGCTGGATTTAAACATTGGCTTCCATACAGGCTCTGTGGCAGAAGAGACCAACACTGCCACGGAGACCTCACATTTCTAGGAATGGCTACATCATTACAAACCGAGGGTGCTGCTCAGATCTCAATCCAGGGAAATCAGACCTCCACCACTCCAACGGGATCCTTGCTCCCTGCCACAGAGCTGTTTCCATTTCCAACATCAATCTGGATGGCAGAGCTCTCACTGGAGGTCCATTCTGGAACTCTTACCACAAAACAGAAGGGACTGGCTCCCCTAACACCTGGACGGGGCAGGAGTTAGAGACGCAGCTTTCAGAGTAAGGGTTCCACTTTAAACGAGTTAGCTGGAGAAAACAAAAGACAGCCAACAAGACTTCTCTTCTTTGGCTTTCTTCCAACTTCCCTGAAGAAATCCTCACATTTAAAATCATCTGTTGTGTTTCACGCTCACACAAAGCTTCCACAATGATCATCTCATCCTAGCATGACAAAACCCTGTGATGCAGGTATGTAGCTGTCTGCATTTTATGCAGGTTCTGCAGGTGGGCTCTGGCCCATGGCACCCATGGCCATGCTGGCCCCCTGCCCAGCTCTCCGTCACTGTGGTCCAGCCCACGGTGCCTGTCCAGAGCCAGGGGAAGGCCCCCTGAATCACAGTTCAGCAGCAGTCTGGGCATATTCTCTGATGTTTAATTGATGATGAAATAATTAACATTCAGGAAGCAAGCTGCTGCTTCACATGTGTGCGATCTGGGTACAACCCATTTCTGCAGGGGTACTTTGGGAGAAAGGGACAGGCCATGTCTTGCTTGGGCCCACCCCAGACCTGCATGAACAGAAGCAGAGTTTCTCACTTGGTGGTTTTTCCTCCAGCTGCCGGAAGGGAGAAAGGGTATCATCTCACGTTTTAGGTATGTTCATGCAGGCCTGGGCAGTGGCTGTTTCAGGCAGAAGTCCCCCTCCTGGGCACGAGCCTGGATCGTTGCTGCTGGCGGAATGTGCCTGGCTCTCACTCGGTTCTGCTAACTGGGTGCAGGATGGAGAGCAGCCCCTCCTCAGTGGCCCGGACTTTCCAGATGGCTGCTCTAGGGCAGAGATGCCCTACTCACAGAAGAAAGGCTTCTCCCTTGGAAAAACCAAGATTTCTTCTGCTGAAATGAAAACACCCACCAGGCAGTCATGGTTTTTCCAGCACGGGGTGCTGACCCCTGGGCTCAGAGGGACAAGAGCCTGGCATCTTACCCCAGCAGTGAGCGGCACAAAGGAGAGATCACCTGTTAGGCTGACCCTTGCCTGGCTGAGGGTCCTAGGGAAAGAGAGGAGCCTTACCCTTGAGCCTGTTCCATGGTGGCTTTCTGAGGGACTGGTTTGCCTCCTCGTGTTTTTTTTGTCCTCTTTAGCCTCCATTGGTTTCCCGGGAGACCCTCTACATATCCCATGGCCACCTCTTTCCTCCTACCCGTTAGTTATAGCTTCATAAAAGAATGTTGAGTGGGATTTTTTTTTTAAAGACTAGGCCTCACTCTTGCTCAGGCTGGAGTGCAGTGGTGAGATTGTAACTTACTGAAGCCTCAGACTCCTGGCCTCAAGCAATCCTTCTGCCTCAGCCTCTCAAGTTGTTGGGACTACAGGTGTGCACCACTGGCTAATTTTTTAAAAATTTGTTTGTAGAGACAGGGTCTTACTATATTGTCCAAGCTGGTTTTGAACTCCTGGCTTCAAATGACCCTCCTGCCTCAACCTCCCGAGTTGCTGGGATTAGAGGCATGCGCCACCACACTCAGCAAATTAAAAAAATTGTTTTGTATAGAGACAGGGTCTCACTAGGTTGCCCAGGCTGGTCTTGAAGTCCTGGCCTCAAGTGATCCTCCTGCCTCAGTCCTCCTAGTCACTGGGAGCATAGGCATGAGCCAGTGGGATTCTTGTTATGCTGGAATTGATGACTGGGGCCCAAATCTAGGTTTTGAAGAGAGCTTCCCACGGTTGAGACCAGACCCCTTCTCTGGGCTTTAACAAGACAGCCCAGAACTGGCCTAACATTCACTAATCACCACAGCCCTTCCACCCTCCTCTTCCTCCAGGCAACAGAAATGGCTAGGTGGAGGCAGTAAGAGAGAATCCTAGCCATGGAGAATCATCCTCCAATCTGTAGGAGGGCGTCTTATCTTTGAGATGAGAGGGGACTCCTCACCCTCCTTCAGAGGAAGGAGTTGAGTCTGAGGACTCAGAGAATCCCCATTATAAAGTGTGTGTCCCACGGGGTCGGGGCGGGGGGAGCGAACATTCTGTTGGATGCCTGCTCACAGAGCAGACACGGACCGCCCCTCGGCCTGTCGGAGCAGGAGCTGAAGAGACGCAGAGAGAGCGGGCAGGACCCAGTGAGAACTGGGCCAGGGAGCAGCTTCCTACCACCTGCAAAGAGCCACGACACAAGGCAGCCAGCTGGCTTGCTTGACCAACCAGTCCTCTCCCGAGAGCTTCACTCTGGGCAGAGCAAAAGGCTGAATGGCAGCACGCAAGTGGTGAGGCTAGACAAGGGACCTGTGGAGGAGCACGGGGACATCCAAGCTGGTGCTTCTTTGTGGGTGCCTGGGAGGCAGCGTGACATGTCAGGGCAGCCTGGGAAGCATCCCTCGGGGTCTCTCTAGGACCCATTTGGCATTTTATTTCCAGACTTGCCATCTCATCCTCCTTCCCTTTCCGTTTTTGTTTCTTCCTCTTCCTTTTCTTCTCTCTCCCTCTCTCATTGGGCCTAGCTAGTGTTTTTTCTCTAGAACATCAGGATTGCACCCTTAGGGTCAAACCCAGATTCTTCCTGCCCAGTCTCTGATGAACAGGCTGTGGGAAGACTTAGTTATACTCTTTTGTCACTTGGACACACCCCTGAACACCCTGACGTAAGCTGTCAGGACTCAGTTCACCAAACCCTTTTCAAACCAGTTGTATTTTCATTCTCTCTCTCTCTCTCTCTCTCTCTTTTGAGTTGGAGTCTCACTCTGTCATCCAGGCTGGAGTGCAGTGGCACACCCACGGCCTCTGCAGCCTCTACCTGCTGGGCTCAGGCGCTCCTTCTGCCTCAGCCTCCTAAGTAGCTGGAACTACAGACGCACACCATTACACCCAGCTAATTTTTTTATTTATTGTAGAGATGAGGTCTCACCAAGTTGCTCAGGCTGGTCTCGAACCCCTGTTCTCAGGCAATCCTCTTGCCTTGGCCTCCCAAAGTGCTGAGATTACAGGTGTGAACCACCACACCCGGCTGTATTTTATTTATCTATTTATTTATTTTTGAGTTGGAGTCTCACTCTGTCACCCAGACTGGAGTGCAGTAGCCACTCCTGGCCACCGCAGCCTCGACCTGCTGGTCTCCAGTGATCCTTCTGCCTCAGCCTTCCGAGTAGCTGAAACTATAGGTGCACGTCTCGCCAAGCTGCCCAGGCGGGTCTTGAACCCCGGGGGCTCAGGCAATCCACTCACCTCGGCCTCCCAAAATGCTGGGATTACAGGCTGAGCCACCGCACCCGGCCCGGCTGTATTTTCATTCTCAAGGTAAAGGGTTTCCTAAGATTTCTACTGCTATGTAAAGTACCTGGAAAGGCTGACTTACTACTTGTTCAATGAGATCAAGGAAATGAAAGGCATTCCATACGCCAGCAGGTAAACAAACACATTAGACAAACACATATACAGAAGTAGAAAGTGAGGGTGTGGATACAAGAGGAATATTAGGTTTCTAGAATCACAGAGGGCATTGATGGGTAAGGCAGATTTTTTTTTTTCTTTTTTTTTTGAGTTGGAGTCTCACTCTGTCACCCAGACTGGAGTGCAGTGGCCACTCCTGGCCACCTCAGCCTCGCCTGCTGGGCTCCGGTGATCCTGCCGCCTCAGCCTTCCAAGTAGCCGGAATTACAGGCATGCACTACCACACCCAGCTGATTTTTTTTTTAATTTATTGTAGAGGTGAGGTCTCGCTGCCCAGGCGGGTCTCAAACCCGCGGGCTCAGGCAATCCACTCACCTCAGCCTCCCAAAGGCGTGGGATTACAGGCTGAGCCACCGAGCCCGGCTAGGCAGATGTATTTGCAGTTAAGCAACGTATAGAATGCTAGCATTGGAAACCTGAAAGACTTCCACCCAGGGGAGAAAAGGGCAAGTCTCCTCTAGGTGAGTGTGGTGCGGGAGAAGTACAGGGCCTACAGTCCTGAGGGCTGGATGGAAGCCCCACTGTGGGCCCATGGGCAATCAGTTATCTTCTCTCAGCCTCTGTTTCCTCAGCTCTCAGCAGGGCCTCCACCCTGCCTGCCTCTCAGGGCTGTTGTGAGGGTCCAAGGAAGAGCTGATGTGGACGCTGCAAGCCCTCTCTAAGCGATTCTTCTTTCTGTTGATGATAGTTGCTATTATTACTGTTTCTAAGAAATAATTGGCCTGTAATGAGCCCTGATAGGGAGTTGAACAAAAGCAGAGACAGGAAGTTGGGCCATGTCCTGAATTTCGAGATTAGGATCCTGGAAAACAATCCTACATTCACCAAACAGGTCCCTTGGCACCACTGGTTCAAGGACAAGCATAGGTTGGCAGAGCCCTTGCTCTGAGCCCCGAGTCCTGTTCTCACAGGGGAGTCCTCAGTGGTGGTTTGTGAAAAATGAAGAACAGTCGTACCCGTGGACAAAAGAAACTCCAGCTGGGGCTGAGAACTCAACAACCAGGGACTGCTGGGGACACCAAGGAGTCCTGGCGCATCTGTCCCACGTGGCTCAATTGAGATCCCTGACTGTTTCTCGGGGCTCTTTCTTATTTGTGAGTGTATGACACAAGATGAGGAAGAGAAGCTGGCAGCCTCCTCCCCTTTTCTTTTGAGCAAGTGTAGCTGGCCTCAGCCTTTGGTCCTCGGTCAAGGTCACATGCATGTTCTCAGCCATTCAGGAGCCATGCCCCTGCAACTCTGGATCTTGGATTACCCCTGCACTCTTGATTTTTCTGCCTTCTCACTGTGTTTAGAGATAACATTTGTTCACCAGTTCCGGACTCATTGTACACCGTGACTCTTAGTTGGGTCCTGCCTCTTCCCCCTCACCCCCTCCCAGCTGAGAAGCATTCATCACTGCTGTAGTTGTTTGAGGGTCTTGAAGATTCTGTGGATGCCGGAGTTTAGCTTAATTACCACATGTATGTAAGAGCATTCACAGCATCAGGGGCTACTGGTCTTGTTTAAGATCATGTTACTATTTCCACAAGTTTTAGTCTTTTTAGTAAAGGGTGACCTTTGTTATTTTCGAATTAGAAACATGAGCGAGGAACCTGTTTAACCACTTCTTAGCCTGATTCCAAACAGCTGCCAGATGTGGCTTTAGAATCCTGGGGTATTGGAAGGGAAGGAGACTTAAAGATCACTTGTCAGCATTTGGTCAGGAGAATAGAAACCGTTCTAGGTTTTTTTTTTTTTTTTGAGTCAGAGTCTCACTGTGTTGCCCAGGTTGGAGTACAGTGCAGTGACATGATTATAGTTCACTGTAACCTTGAACTCCTGGGCTCAAATGATCCTCCCACCTCAGCTTCCTGAGCAGCTGGGACTACAGACGTGTACCACCATGTCTGGCTAATTTTTTCTTTTTTTCTTTTTTTTTTTTTGTAGAGACAGGGTCTTGCTATGTTGCCCAGGCTAGTCTTAAACTCCTGGTCTCAAGTGACCCTCCTGCCCTGGCCTCCCAAAGTGCTGGAATTACAGGCATGAGCCACCATGCCTGGCCAGGTGGGAGTACCTTTAAGCCAAGTTCTCCTGCTGCCTTTTCCTGTTCCACTTCCATTCCCTTCCCCTGCCCTCCCTGGCCTTCCTGATGGTCACTCAACTGACTTCTGTGTGCTCTGTTTCCAGGGGGCCCTGTCCCAGCCCCAGCCCTGGTGGAAGATCCAGCTGTTCGTGTGGGAGCCAGTGCTGTTCGGGACCTGGGACGGTGTGTTCACGTCCTGCATGATCAACATCTTTGGGGTCGTGCTGTTCTTGAGGACCGGCTGGCTGGTGGTGAGTGTTGAACCCGTGGCCTGGGGCCTCTCATGGGCCCCCAACAGAGAAAGTTGTGTCACTTCTGCCATTCCACAGTGCAGGGCACAGATTCCCGAAGCACAGATGCTCCCAAAACATGACACAGAAGCAAGCACAGTGGATAGCTGGTCTTACTTTTCAGATAGCTGGTCTTGCTTTTGACATGAGCCTCCTGCTAGCCTAGGTCTCTGGGGTCTGCTGGAAGCCCCACTGTGGATTTAGCTACAGATAAATGCACACAGGAGTCAGGGCTCATGGAGGGCGGGACTTGAGATAATCAGAGAGACCAGGTTGATGCCAATCTTGATTCTGGCTTGTGATCCTCTCCTGCTTTCCTGGCATTCTTCACCTCACCTTGTGCCCTCCCAATTCCACAACGGAGCAGGAGTTCTCAGCCCCTCACAGAGTGCCTCCTTACACAGAGGGACTTAAGAACAAAAGGCAAGCCAGTCAAGAATTAAACACTGGCCGGACTCGGTGGCTCAGCCTGTAATCCCAACACTTTGGGAGGCCGAGGTGAGTGGATTGCCTGAGCCCGCGGGTTCGAGACCTGCCTGGGCAACTTGTCA